GAAATCTCTCAGAATCAGCATTTCCGAACTGAACAAATTGAATACTTTTCTGTGAGTATCGACTTGAATCAATTAGAATTTTGAAGATTTAGGGTCAGCTGGTTTGGGTACCGTTGCTAGTGCAAAGCTATTGGCTAATCCAGTTGGATGCAGTAACTGTGAACGGTGTGGTCGTGTCGAATTCGATCGGTGCTGCAGTTGATACGGGAACGTCGTTGATTATTGGACCAACGAATGCCATTAATCAGGTTTTTCGGACAAAATCTTATAATTTTTAACAAGTGATATTGCAGCTATCTGATTTTTGTTGATGTATTCTTTCAAATATTCCAAAATTTGGTTGAGTACATGAGAAGTTTCATTTTTCGAATTTTGCTTGATAACGATTTGTAAACGAGTGATATTGCAGCTGTTCAGTCAGATTGGTGTATCACAAGGCAATGATGGCAATAATAATCTTGATTGTTCTCTACAAAACTCATTACCCGATGTGGTGTTCACTTTTGCTGGCATGGATTTCATCCTGTCATCAAGTGATTATATCATACAGGTTACCGTTGCCACTTCATGGTTATTCAGTTAGTTTGAACTGGAACTCGAAAGACATTGACATGTTCATCGAGAGAAATCGTACACGAATGTCTTTGCTATAGCGACGAAAAATGCTCTGAAGAAGCTTTAGCCTCCTCATAAAATCTTACATCTTACGATTCATAGATATTCATTACATCTTACGTCTTAATAGATATTCAAATCTTGCGTCAGCGAACATTTTTGAATATATATTCACTTCTGGAACATGATCTCACTCAAATTTCAGTTCGATGACGGCACCTGCACAGTAGCATTTGACGGCGGTGATCCAACCGCATCAACAGGACCCATATGGATTCTAGGCGATGCTTTCATTGGTCGATTCTATACAGTATTCGATCGTGGTAATGCGCAAGTGGGATTCGCTAATGCGGTTTGATTAGAGCAGTGGAATACCGGAGAGGCGGCAGTTTGAAGCTTATACTTGAAAATATTGAACATGAGCTAATAAGTGAAATTTTCATCATCGATACTGAATGAACATTTTCAAGATGACTGATTTGATTTGCTTTCATCGAAACTGATTTAAACATTTCATTAGTTAGCTGCAGTTAAAACTCAAATGAATTATCAGCAAAGGTACGTGTAATTGAAGAGTTTTCCATTCGACAGCTAGTAAATGATCCATTCTACACCATGACATATAATAGTTTGAATGATTTGATTGCTCATGTTCGGAGTTATTCCAACTGCGATCACAAATCTGCTGATAATTTATGAGATCAAGCTAAAGAACAACCCTAGACATCAGAATAGCTCCATCTTCATTCAGTGGTAATCTCCCTTTGGAGAGTATTTGTAGATTTGAGTATTTTCATGGATCATACAAAAGTTTATACAGACACGAGTATACGATTATGGTCATGTTCAAACATTTGACTTTCATTAAAGTAACACTGCAATCTCATAAATTTCGATACATCGGAAGTTATCTGGTGCATGCAACAAGCATGATCTGGATCGATCAGCAAAAGTCCGATATCGCATAGTACCTGAACAGAGGATGACCTGAATCATCAAGAAAAAGCGTTCAACCTCATTTTATGAATCAGTGATCTACTCCCTGAGAGATTTGATGCTATTTTGAGGCAGATATGAATTCGCAATGCTAGCTTGCTTACGGCTCCATTGTCAGCTGCACAAACGAGCACCACTAACAGATGTTCAATTGAATTCGAAAGTGTTTATTTGAATCGTAACAGAGAGTGCAAGGCATGTATCTGATTGAAATGTAAATAATGTTCTCAAAAAATACGTTGGGTAGTCCCTTTTGTGAAACCATGAACAGCTTGGGTACACAATAAACGTACTATCAACTNACTTCAATTCATGCATGCCAGATTTCATAACATCATGAAAAAAGATAGCTTGTTATTGAATTTCTGGCGGTTGTAACCATCGCTTGGTGCAGATTGTCTGTGAAACGCTGTCCCCTGGCTTTATGAAATCCGTTTGGCAACAGCTGAGTGCAATAGACATGACTGACACTATTGCGATGGTGTATGATGAAATCGATCAATTATTCGTGATGTATTCTGCGATGAAATATCAGCAGATTTGTTTCAGATTCTTTAACGAGTGTTTTAGTGACATTAATAATTTGGAGTTTGAACAAAGTAGAGCAACTTGAAGATTACTGGTGATAAGGATAGTAGTAATTACATCAACATCACGGATGCTGAACAAAGAATCTGAACAATCGAATGAAATATCTAATAGCTAAGACTCATTCGAACATGATACTGGAAATCATGCAATATCTGATATTAGAATTAATTATTTTTGATTGATCACCATCGTTTGATTCAATCCTCACTTAACGGGCAGGGCAAATCCTACTCGTTTATTCCCAATATCGAAGATTGTGTAGTGAGTTTGAAGGAAAGTATCGCCAAGATTCCAAAATGAACCATTTTGTTGTCCAATACGCAATTGACACTGTCCGTTCGGTATCTGGAACAAGGATATCACCCACAGGCGCGTGACAATTCGCATGAGAAACATGTTTGTTTTGAGGAAATTTCAGCCAGTTCACATGAAAACGTTCACTTTGGGCAAATTCATTGCATCATTCAAAGTAACCTCAGGCTCTAAGGATATAAAATGAAACGATCTTGCTCTAAACAATTTTTTTCATAACTGTTATGGCTCTGACTTTTTTTTGGAAATTTTCAAGGGATCATGTCTTCCGTTGTCATCAAAACGATACAACAAATGAAGATCAGCTCACCCGCCTTATATAATGTACGGCGGCCAAGTCAAAAGCGAAATCTGTGAAAACGATATGAAGCGTTGGTAAAGAAAGGAGTCTTGAGCAATTCACAGTAAACATTCCATGTTCATCTTGTGTGACATTTCCGATCAACTGAAGCACCTTAAAATAGTCTTTCTGATTATGAATTGAATGAATACTCCACTTGTTTCCAATCAAAATTGCCTCTCGCAACTTCAGCATATTGAAATAAATATCCTCGGTAATATACATCTATCGTTGATTAAAGAATCGAGTGGACTGCATTGCTTCAGCGATAAGAGATAAGATCCGTGTTTTCAAGAAAAGGTCAGGCTCAAGGATAGCGTAGCTGTGAAGGAACTGCACCGACCTTCTGGAACTGCATTTTTGGCATTAATATGTGCGATGTTCCCGTATCAACAATAGCGATTGTCTGATGATCAAGCCGATGGTCACCAAAGTCAACTTCTTTGATGCGGACCATCCAATATCTCGAGTCTTCTACTTCAGCCCAATGTATCTGGCCCTGAACGTTCCAAGTGAATGAATCGAAAGTTGCCCAATGGAAGTGGAACAACACACTTGAGGTGACGAATGTGCTCAAAATTTTTACTATCTAGCACAATGGTTCTGATAGAGGTGAAATTACCTATTTTGGGTAATTAGAGGTGTCAAAGGGCAATGGAGTGGGTCGGAAAATTAGTTATCCGTGCAGTTTTATGTTATGATAGAATTCTCCTATTTTCAGAGTATCATTAGGTCGTTTGAACAGGGTTTTCATTCTTTTCCGAGCTGTTATAATCACTCTCATAACTTTTGTCTCCAAAAGTGTTCTCTTCTTCTAATTTCTCATTCATTTTACTCAACAATTAAAGTCAAATTCTCATTCTATCAAATGCACTCTATAATTCATCATTTGGCTGTCGAAAGTTGTTCAGCAATTCAATTCGATTGTTGTATTGTTGATTTCGGTTGTCAACACTCGTCAACGTATCCAGTAAATAGTATATGCTACAGAATGAGAAGTTGTGAAGTGAAATGAGACGAAGTGAATGATAAAAACAAATCAATAGAACGATATTCGCATGTGATAGCTATGAGAGCGAATACAACACGTCTGAAAAGAATGAGAATCATGCAAAACAGTTCGAACTGAGCGTGTCACAGACAATAGCTTTTCATGCGATCATAATCGATTGCAGTAATGAGCAACACAACGGTCTGGGACACTAATTTCTTTCACGCCGCTGAGAAACTTCCGGACTGGTTTTCCGTTTGTTCCTGACATTACAGAAATAGCGTTTTTTCCAAAAGTGTGCAAAAAAATTTTGTTTCAAAATGATCGAGAACGAGCACACCTCATAAAGTGTATCATCAATACCACAGAGGATCAGTTCATCGTTGCCCGCAGAAGATGCGTTTTGGTTAATCCAGAACGAGAATATCGCTTGCGGACAATCTGGCCAAGCGAACACTTGACTCCATACTTGAGAGATATTGTTTTGAGCAAGCGGATCCAGTCCCATACCAAGAACACCATCGAATGGTAGAGCCTACGCTAGTGAATCATAAATCATTTGCAAGCTCCTTAGATTTCCTTTGCTCGCTATTTTTGAAGGTTTTACCCGGTGGCCATTATAAACTTGGAAATTATTCGATTTATCTCTGCCATCAAGGGTTTGAAAATTTTGGTTTTTATTTTTCAAGTGATCATGATTTGATTTCATTTCCACGATTCCATGAATTAATTCCAGTGTTGGTTGGTGCTTTTGAGAGAAAAAAATGAGAACAGTTAGCTAAATTGAGCTAAATTTTCAGTACTGTTGACAGAAATGCACTTTTAGTGAAGCATTGAAGACAGCTGAATACGCCTCGAGAAGGCGAGAAAGCTGTATCAATGAATGTAANGAGTGAAAAAAATACAATGAATTCGTCGCCAGGTCCTTGCTCGATACACGAAAAACCTTGCAAGGCATTCGTGCATAATCGCTCTTGTGGAAGGTTACCAACCTGTAAATTTGACTGAGTAAATGGTGGTTGAATTAGAAGATTCAGTTGATTCAGTTCCTTTGCTAATTCAAGATCCAGTTCAGTTGCTCAGTTATTCACTCAATTCGTTCAGTAAGCTGGACAAGTGAACTGAATTCGTTGACTGGTCTTATGATTAATAAAGAAATTAATTGATTTCATAAACAATTTATCAGATGAATTCAGAACGTGATTGATTTGGCATTCTTTTTTTGAGTTCATTTGCATGATCAAACAATTTTTCGCACAACAAGAAAGAGCATGAGAGGTCAGCATGAGAATTATTTTTATGGTTTGAATTGTTGATAATATAAATCGAAATTTCTGAATTCGTTCAAGTTGGTGCTGATTTGAAATTGCGCGTTGATTTATTCAGTAGGAAGGAAAAGTAAATTTTCGGAATTTTTTGTCCAAAAACGTACACAGACAGTATCGTTGAGGACATGACCACGCACAGCACCCGTTCCATAGATGAGACGAAATGGGGATCGCGTATTTTTGCAGGTGTATGAAGCAGTGCAGTTGAACTGATTATGAACAGAGCAATGTACGTTCGAATACGGGCATGTCGAGCATGGAACCCATAAATTTGACGAACCCGTGTCAAGTTGTACCTTCAATTTTG